ATACTGCCCTCCATCCAGGACATCGCATCAATCCTAGCAACCCTAGAAAGGTTTATGCAGGATAATAACAGCATGACTGCAATAATTACCGGAGATTTCAATGCCAAAAGTCCCCTATGGGGACCACATTATACGGGGACACACGAGGCTTCAAAGTATACAAATTCACAGCCAGCACTGGACTATCGATTGTCAATGAGATAGGGGATACGCCAACCTTCGCAGAAGTAAGTGGCAACAGCTGGATTGAACTCACACTTATAAGCAGAGACAGAATCAGGATCGATAATTGGAAGGTAACAGAGGAAGCAAACAATAGAGATCATGGTAATATCTATTTTGACGTCTCCAGCATTCATTACCCAGCATGGCGAAGAACAAAAATCAATGCACGACATACCGACTGGCTAAGTTTCAAAGGGATGTCTCAAAATCTCTAGCAGACCCTAGAAATCGATAAATATTATAAGAGAAGTTACTACTAGTCTCTACGAGATCTATCAAAGAACGGTTCTTTCACATAACTCGAAAGGAAGACTGCGCACCTGTCCATGATGGACAAAGGATCTCACTATACTCAGGAAAAAGGTTAGAGCAACAAGGAAGAGGTTCCAAAAATAACTGGAGAGGAAAGGGCTCATAACAGGCTGCTTTTCCAAAGAGTACGTGCACAGTACCGGCAAAAGATGTATAAAGAAAAGGAAAAAGGTATGGGATATGACATGGAACAAAATCACTGCCAGCTCTCCGTTCGGAACATATTTCGATATAACTAAAGGCACAAGCATGAGACCATTAAAAATAGGTACAATTCAAAAAGACGACGGCACAATGACGAATACAATTGAGGATACAATTAGGGAAATAATTAGGTTCCATTTTCCAGAAGATGACCCCAGCCAGGACTCTACATATCACAAAGATATCCGTGCCCAATCAACCGAGATTTCAAACTCTGAAGACGATCAGCTGTTCACACTAGAAGAAATGCAACGTATGAGAAACTTAACACGCAGAGGTAAAGCTCCTGGTCTAGGTGGCCTCACGATTGAAACCGTAGAAGAGGTTAGGCTCGCGGACGACAAACAAATTCTAGCACTCTTTAACAAGTGCCGTGAATTAGGTTATTTTCCAAAGAAATGGGGGGGGAACGCAGAACTGGTCTTGTTCCAGAAAGAGGGAAAACCAAAGTCCATGCCCAGTTCTTACAGACCTATCTGCTTACTCTCAGCGAGGGGCAAAGGCCTTCACAAGACGCTTACGCAGATATTAACGTATTACCTGGTCAAAAACAAATTACTAAACCCCGCCCAATACGGGTTTACTAAAGGTAGGAGTACCACCGACGCCCTCAACCGTGTACAAGACATCATCTTAAATAACAGACACAATAACCTCCATACGTCTATAACATCGCTTGACATAGCATCAGCATTCAATAAACTATCGTGGCCAGCACTCAAACCTGAAAGACCTGCGATGTCCAAAGAATCTTTAACAACTGATCACAAGTTACCTCACAGAACGTCAAGTGACCTACAAAAGAGACGCCCTAAATATTACGACGAATTACCACAAAGGAGCCCGACAGGAGTCTAATATCGGACCCATTCTGTGGAACACACAGACTCGGCGCTAAACCTTGGAGACAATGCCAAGATACAAGCTTACGCCGACGATATTGTACTCATAATAGACGGAGGCAATAGGACAACAATAGAGCGTAAAGCAGACGTAGCAACAAACGTCTGCTTTACGCTCTATTGTTGGAAGGTATTACAAAATGGAGTCAAGAGAACAAACTATGTTTCAGCATTGAAAAGACACAGATGGTAGTTTTTCCAAAGGGCTCAAAAACAGATGCGAATCCACCACGCATAAAGTGGGAAGGGCATCCAGTGCGACGCCAGGATACCATTAAGTACCTCGGATTCGCGCTTGATAAGAAGCTCACGTGGGTATCACATCTTACGGAAGTCCGAGATAAGACACATCGAATCATCAATAAACTAAACAGGATAATCACAGACAAGTGGAGCCAAAAGAGGCGCCTGTTAAAACACCTATACGTAAATGCAGTTGAACGCACGATCATTTACAGCTACCCAGTCTGGATGACTGGCACGGCAAGAATATGTCAAAAACTTCAACAAATACAGCGAGTAATCCTGCTAAAAGCCATCCGGTGCCTATAGCATCCATCCTCAACCGCCAGCACTTGAGGTTCTAGCTGGTAAGCTCCCACTCGACGTAAAAGCAGAATTATAATAGAAAGATCATTCTACCGACTTCTACACTACAAAGATCCCTTCACACTAAAGAAGATTTACATCTATCTTATGCCAGCCTAGAAAACTTCCAAATTCCCCCTGTCTTACACCCAGAAGATCTACCCATCCTTCCCTGTTGAAAATCGCCACTCTCAGGACAACAAAGGGAGATTTTTTTCTAACGGATCACAAATTTCAGGACGAGTAGGGGCAGCGATCACGGTCTTTTCGAACAATGAAGAAATTTATCAAGCACAATTCCGTATAAGCAACCACACTTCAATCTTCCAAACTGAGTCCCTTCTCTCAAAGAAGCAGCACTATGGCTGGGTACGCAACTGAATTCCTTTCCTCCAAAACGTCCGCACACGGCAGCACTTAAAGAGAACCTCTTGACGTTAGGCTCCTCCATCCCTTTAAAGATCAGCTGAATAAAAGAAAGGCAACGAACGAGCGGATGAACTAGCTAAGACCGCAGCTCTGAAACCAGAAATTGACAAGGAAGTTCCGCTTTCCGCAGAAGTTGCAAAAAGGCTCCTAAAGACAACATTCCAAGAGACTTGGTCATCACGATGGCAGAAAGTAGAGACAGGAAGATTTACTTACAACATTTTCCCAATACCTACTCTCAAGAGGCTCAAATGCAACCGACTCTTCCTCCAGACCCATACCAAACACGGGAAATTCCTAGCGTATTTCAGACGGTTCCTCAGACGGTAGTCAACTGTTCTTGCGGTCTTTCATGGGGAAGACGCGGTACCTGCTCTCCTGCCCTCTGACAGAGCACCTTCGACAGCAGTTCTTTCCTTCCGACTACATCACATATCCTGTTAATAGACTGTTCACGGACTATTACTGCAACAAGGGCAGCTTAGTGCTAGCAACGACTAGGATGACTTCCTAACCGTGTAGTAACTTAGTTTGGCGGAACAGGTTAAGCATCGTTACACTATTGCAAGAGTACTAAATAGATCCCATATATTTTTTTAAGTTTCCAAGAAAGATTATTTCCAAAATATTCATATTCATGCTATTTCAAAAATAAGAAACTTGCACAATTTTATGCAGTATGCAGATGTATGTAAATGCATAACATAATACATTTTCAGATAATTCTGTATTAAAGTGGCTACTGCACTTAATTTTTAAAACTGGCAAACTTAATCACCCAGTCTGTAATAATTTCATGCGTCACCAAAGGCTTATGCAGTAGTCACTTTAATACAGAAATGTTATCTATTTATATTACAAAGATCTGTGCACATGGTAAATGCAATTTCAGTAACGTTATAGTAATGCTGAATATCATCTTACCATTCCAATTGGAGTGTGAACTGGAATCTTTTCATCACAACTCCCTATTGGTTGATGGAACCCCGCTGAAAATATGGTTTGTGGTTGTGCAACAAAAGTGAGTATTGCGAAGAAGGAGAAATATAGCACAACAAAAAGAAAAAGTTCATCCACTTTTTTCTGATAATTGTCAGTCACTATAAATAAGAATGAAAGTGTTAAGTTGCAAAGTTAAGTAAGTTTTAACTTTAAGAATTCCCCTTCCCCATGTAGCAATTACATTAAAACGTTTTATTTTGCATAAGTTTCCAGATCTAAGTATTGTATTTAAAGAATAAAATAATTGTGTTCAGTCAAGTCCTGCAAACTTGACATACTGTAATCCACATTAAGGCAGTTGAGTTAGCAAAAAATGTGGAGTTTTATGGAAGAAGGGATGTGTTATCTACAACTTATAATATTTCATCCAACACCTAAATTTATGTCCATTTCTTTAATGCTTTCCTCTTTGCCTAGTTTCTTCCAATTTTCCATTATGTTAATTTATTTTCTTTTCTTTCTGTTCGACATTTTCACTTATACAGACAACACAATATAGGACTTGAAGGCCTAGATAGATACTGAGAAATTCTATTCAGAATGAACTGAGAGTTTAACTTGTAACAGGCAAGTCTGCTACTAGTTGGCAATAGAAAAGAATATAAGTGATATTGAGCCGTTCTACTATCCGACTTTCTTTAGTCGTTTCGCTATTGAAAGGAGAAATGGGCTAAAATGCAGTTGGCAAAAAAAAAAAGACCAAAACCTGTTACCAAATTTGTTATATATAGATTTCAAGAAATAGTGTCACAAAAGAAAGATGCAATATTAAAATTCCATAGCAAATCTTTGAACAAAACAGGAAAACATGCAGACTTTCATGTACGTTGTGCAAAAAAAAAAAAAAGGGGGGGGGGACAGTTATATATCTTCCGTTCTACTGCCCGATTGACAAAATTCAAATTGCGTTTTTCATGTCTCGAAAGCGCGACTTAGGATATGTATTAGATTTATATATAGCATTGTTCTAATATAGGTATTTTGACACACAAAATCGGACTTTTTCTGAATGGCATGCCAATTTTTTTTCCATGTTTCGATTGTACGACTCACATTCTGCCAAACTGCCAAGTTTTGGAAAAATCTCATGAGTAGTTTTTAAAAAAAATTAGTTCTAAAAATTTTAGCTCCTCAATGTTAATTGAATTTGATACTTATTTATTAATTTCTCTTTTTTTATTAAACTAATTTAATTCTTCCTTTCAAATTTCGAAATTTAGCTTCATTCCAAATAAAATTCGCCAATTTTTTATGATTTACTTTTAAAATTTGTATTTTAAAATAATTTTTATAAACTTTTTGGAAAAAATTTTGAATTATAACCTATCAAATTTTTACCATCGTCTTAAAGTAGACGTATTTCTAAGCCTGCCTGCAAAAAATTAGTTTTTTATTGAAAATTTCCGAAGATATACGTGAATTTACATTTTAGCACGTTTTGAAATTTGGCTTATTTGTTTAAAGCGATAATAACATCAAATGTAGTTTAGCACTTAAATTATTTGAAAGTTGTAACAATGTGAATTTTTCCCCCTCCGTCATAATAGAAGAGAAAGGAAAATAGGTTGCCATATGTTAAGAAGTTCACCAAATGAACTTGGCGCCAACTGAAAAAATGCCGCCAACATAAATTTGTGAATTTCTTCGTAAATTTCGCACAAAATTTTACAAAATTTAATATTTAGGTATAATTTGAGTAATAGAATAGAATTATGGAAAATAAATTGTATGTTATTTCAGAGAAAGTTCCATTTTGTGTCAAAATACCTATGTTAGAACTATGCAATATATAAATCTAATACGTATCGTATATATCGTATATAGCCTACGCCGCGCTTTCGAGACATGAAAAACGCAATTTGGGTTTCGTCAATCGGCCCAGTAGAACGAGAGATATAGAACTGCCCCCCCTTTTTTTTTCGCAGTGTACATGTACTATTTACAATACTATTGTGAATAAAATGTACTTATGCCGTTTGCACTGCAAAAGGAATTGCAGAAATTATTTAAATCTAGCTATTAAATGATCATCGAATTATACGAAACGTCAACTAATCGGCAGTCAAGTTTGCGACATTGTACTGTATGCATGCTTAAAATTTAAAATGGTTTTAAGTTTTATGCGAAAAGAACTTTTTATTTTTTGAATAGTTGATATTTTGGTAGCATTCTCTACCTTTTTTTAAGGGAACTTCTGTAATAACTTGATAAGATAATAATTAACATCATCTCATAATGTGTATCAAAGTAGATTGGAATTATTCCTTTATATAAAAACGTGTTCATTCAACATTTGCAAGATACTCAGTCTGTTAACATTAGAATTACGTTAAATGCTCATAATTATATGATGATTTAATTATTGGTATTGTCAAAGTCTCTGCTTCTAGATATCGTTCTTCATGATATGGATATGGATATCATCTTTTTAAACTTAAGGGAGCTGACTGCGATACCAAAGAGCCCGGGTTCGAATCCTGGACAAGGCATGGTTGTAATTATCGGTTCCTTCATAGGAGGCAAAGATGGCCCACCTATTAGGTGCCTCCATAATAAAGTGACCACCATTTCTGGCCTTAGTAGTGGCCAAGCCGAAGTTGGCTGAGGGCTCGCCATTGGGGGGGGGATCCTTTTTAAACTGTCTGAAGGAAAACTCTTTTGAGTTTTATTATTGTTTTCAGTTTGTGATAAATGCCATCCCTTGTAAACTGATATTATTGAAACATTAAAATGCATAAGATATTTTGTTTATCTTCAACATTATGCATATGCATTGCTGTGTACAACATTAATAATTTCAAAATATTTTTACCTGGGCTTCTAAATAATATCTATAATGCATGTTAATTTATATCAGAATGGTATAAGCTAAATAAGTTTCCACAATCCTGAAACTGGCCGACTCCAAGCTTACTGTGTTTTTTACATCTAGAATCTGTTCACTGCATCCAGTATAAAATGGAATGATTATGGTTGAATTTTATAGATCTTACTTCATAGGATCATTTTTTATTAAAAACATACAGAGTGCAAGAATCTTTGTACATATTTATGTTTCTAACTTTGTTCAAACAGCAGCACACTTTTTAATACTTTGATAGTTTTCTGATTATAAAAGTGTACATTAAAAAATAGCTTTTTTTAGTTATTTTCAGTACAAATAATAATAATAATAATAATAAAGGTATTGAAGAAACTAATTGGAAGAATTTTCTTACCTTTCGTCAGTTTTGTCATAGTACCTACACTTCTATCTCCTGTCCAGGCTAATAAGCAGAGAGTTGTCAAGTAAATGATAGTACAGACACTCGCTGGTACTTTATAAATATCATGAGGAATGTGGTAGAGCAAAGCAAATTGCAGAATACCGAGAGGAATAGCAATGATGCCAGATGCTATAGCGCAGCAAATCCCTGTTAAGTGTCTAGATTAAGGAAAAAAAATTAATGAAAGGTGCTTAAAAACATGTTTGCATAATTAAATGCAAATTTTTCTTTGCTTCATTGCATTAAACGTTTTTTAAATTTGATCTTGAAAGTTTTTTTTTATGAACTTTTAACAGTTCTAGATTTAAAGAAAAGTATAATAGGTGGCAGAGGGGTTTTTAAAACGTGTTTGAAGGAATGCAAGTGATCAGTGAAGGATAATTTTTAATTTATTTTTCGGATGTTTAATTTGTATTCTTTAATGTAAAATTTACAAAGCTTTTGTTTGACTATTGTATGTTAACACACTAATGATAGTAGTTGAAATTTTCACAAAACTTAAGCTCCCTAAGAAGTAAATAGGATTTTCGAGGGCGAATTAATTAAATCACTAATACAGCAAATAACTTAGGTATTACATTTACATATTTATAAAGAACCCAGGCATTTATATAGCTAATAAGAAGGGTTCGAGGCCTTGTGCTGCAGCAAGAGGCTGCTGTTTGGAAGATAACAAATAATGTAAAAATAATAGCCAGATCTTAATTTGAAGCCCAAAACCAGCTTAATGACACATATTTTAAAAGTTTTCAAAATGTTTCCGAAACAAATCTAGAGCTTAAACTGCACATTTCTGTTACATAATAAACTGAACAATATTTAATATCTTTATATAATCCCATAGGTGTCTAATGTTATATGGTTGACAGACTATAGAATTACACCGCAAATAATTTTATTGTTGGAAACCAAAGAATAGTAATATATATCTGTGCAGACAGGTAATACAGACTTAATTAAAACTGTCATTGTCTTTCATTCCTTATGTCTTATTTTCCATAATTATTAAAATATTAATTCCATAAAGAAATATATCAAATAGAAATTGGGTTGATAGCGAGGTTACTGTATTATTTTTAATGAAAAAATATTTTTCATACTAGCAAAAGAAAATTGTTCAAAAGCATTATCATTTGAAGAAGGTGAGGAAATTTATCAATGGCAACAGCTTTTAATTAACTGAATTCCTGAAAAGGAGAAATTTGTGAAGGACGAATATCAAAATATTAAGGCAGAAAATATTGAAAAGAAGGAGACAGAATGCTTTTCCCCACACTTACAAAGTGACAAGATTTTTTATGGGGAGGAAAACAATAAAATGTTTCATGCTAAATTGTAGCACTGAATTTAAATGTGCTGTCTGAATGTCAAGAAAAGGAATAGAGCTTAGACATTCATTTCAAGGATGAGTTGAATGACAGGATCAATAGAAGTCTATCACAAAAAATATTTTTCAGAAATGTTCAGTATGCATAACTAATCAGTATGCAGGATATGTTCAATATGTTAATCTTCTTGGCATATAACTTCTTCGAGACGGACCATTAGACGGCTAGTACATTTAAAACATAAATCACTCCTCTCATGTCGCGAGTGATTGTATGCATTCGTTAGTTTCTGGTGGTGAAATTTGGTTTTTTTTTTTTTTTTTTTTTTTTTCCCCCAGATACCTTCTCACGATTTCAGTGTGTAATAATATAATTTTGAGGAGAGATCAACAAATGTGCAACCGGTAGCGATCATCATGGTTTTCTTCCAGCGCGTGACCAAGGACTTTTGTCAGAGTTTAACTAAACTTTCCTTCTAAAACTGATTACATGACAACAGGGCCGGATTAAAACTGTAAAGGCTTTAAGCACTTAAAAGATTTTACGCCCCATATACCATTCACGCCAGTTTTTTCCCCATTCCTTCTCTCGCATTCTTATTTAGCTGCACCGTACATTTCATGATGAAACGGCAATGGGAACTTTTTATGTTAATCCCCTTTGCCGAGTCCTTAAGCACATTTTTGTGTACCACCTTTTCTTCATGTTCCAAGCAAGGATTTATTTTGCTTAATGATTAATGTAGCTACTATGTATACCATGTAGCTGAGGATATTGCTAATTGTGCCCTGCATACTGGTGTGCCTTGCACATGTCATTAAACTGTTGGCCATCCAAAATGCAACACGAAGAATTTATTTCAGAGATTACATATAGTATTAATGTTAATTAATTCGAAATACAGACTTCTTTCAGATGAGGAAGACGAGAAAAGCATAAATGAGTGTTACCTCCACCACTGTCAACAACCGCTGCAGTTCGCCACGGCATATTGAGTGAAAGCGAGTGAAAGAGGCTTTGGGAATGGTAGCCCATGCTACCTCCTCACGTAACCAAAGTTCCTCTGGTGTATCGATGGGTGCTTGCATCCCGGTCTAGGTGTTCTTCAGTAATTGACCAGACATGTTCGATAGGCGATAGATCTGGAGAGCTACTAGGCCATGGTAACAATACAATATGGGCTAAGAAGAAAGCTTGAACATTGCGTGCAGTGGTGTGGTCGCGGACTGTCCTGTTGAAATGTGGCGACGAGACGATTGCAATTGCTCCTGTCCATCAGTCTTTCCCTCTTACATTCACTGATTCGCATGACTGTTGCTTGGTTACATCCGATACGATGACCTTATTTCCCGGAAGAAGAATTCGAAATCTCTGTATTCTATTCGGTCGAGCTCAGAAACGTGCTCGAATGATGCTTGTGTTTTTCGACGAGGCACAGTGAAGCTACATACAAGAAAAATCTCACGAGAGAACACGTTATTCAAAACGACGGATTGCAAGGAGCACTGCAGTCTCCCGTGATGCGTGCGTGCGCTAAAATCGTAATCATTTGGATATTCCGTTGCGGTATACACATGACGCTAGTTTCATACTGTTTAGATGCTTCCTTCATGTTTTTGCATTTTGCATGACCAGCAATTTACTTTAATTCCAACTTTTCTGTAATGTTTAAAAAAGTGATTAAGTCATTTTCAGTGTGTAATAATATAACTTGAACACTTTCGTTCGTTTTCCAATAATAACTTTGTAAGCATTTTACATTAAAAATTTAGTGATAAAATTTTTCAAAAAGAAATATATATTTATGAATGTTTAGGTAAGTTTTCAATGCCCAAGTAGCAAAACCATCAGAAAGTAATATTTTTTAAATGCAAAACTTAGGTAGAGCGGCATTATTTTCCAAACGTATCGGATAATTAATAAGGAAATATTTGTTGTTGGAGAAGATCATCCGACTTTTTGTTTTATAAAATCAATAAAATAAAGCAATAACATTTAATTAGATTCAAACTCTATTTGCTTCCTTGTACAAAGTAAAAGGGAGTACTATTATCGCGAAAATTTTCGGTATCAATTTCAACCTCGGAAGTAGTATCAATTTTGCCTTCCCCCCCCCCGTGGCGTCTGTCCAAATAGACAAAATTAAGGGATCTTTTTTTTCTTTTTTTCAGAACGTTTTGTAAAAATGGATTTAAAATCGATTCAAAATGAAATTTTTCGTGATGTCTGTACGTATGTATTTCGCATAATTCAAAAACGATTAGTCATAAAACAGAAATTTTGTATATGGGACTGCTATAACAGTTCTATATACAAAACTGATACAACTAGTTGTGCACCTCTTTTTTTAATTGCAATCGGCAATACCCATATATATATATATATATATATACCCACTCCCTTGCCATAAAAATTCTTACCCGCCCTTTATTTTTGCAATCTTGATCGTAGTCATAGCCTTGAAATTACAGAAATGTTTTAAATGACGAAAATATTCACGTTTTGGCAATGTCAAATTAAAAAACAAATTTTGGACAAATAATGACATCTAACTTTGAATGCGTTCTCCCGGTTCCTGTGCTTATATTTATGAAAGTTTTATACTCGTAATGAAAAAATTAAATTATAAGAAGTTTGACTCTCGTACCACAAAATTGATCGAGATATTTTATTTTAAAATATTTGTAATTTTTTATGTCATTTTCAACTTTTCTTGAGGGATCGGTTAACTAAGCTGGAATAATTCGAGGAAATAAGTTTAAATGAAGTGCAGCAAAAAATGTGTATAATCTAATAGGCCGTATAAGGAAAGGGTGTACTCCAACTGCGCAAATGCAAATCCTGCCCTCGTCCTGGTATAGTCTAACTGCGGAAATCAAAATTTCTTTAATATTGAAAATTCTGAAGACGCTCTTAATTATCAATTTATTAATTAAATGTGTATTAGAAATTAAATGTATGCCAAAGTACATCAGGTAGAGTAACTGGAAATCAGAATAAATATTTAAACGTTTCTAGGTATTAAAATATGGAATTTGTAAGAAAGTTAAATAACCTTAAAATAACTTCAATGACTAAAATAGAATGCTTAATACGGCAATATATTGCAATAATATTAGTGTGAATTTAGAACCATTTACAAAATCCAATTTTTTGATTTAATAAAGAGAATTGCTTAAATTAGAACTGTTTACCTAAAACGGTAAATTTGAAAGTTAAAACCAATCTGCCATCGAAGAAGATTTTTTAATATTTATCTAGACAAGAAACTTATTTGAGGTGCGCTACAAATCCGATATTTGATAGGTTGATTATGTATCAGTTTTGTGTATGTCATGAATCTATCAATTTTATTATTCAAAACTGATATTTCAGCATACTTTTAAAAATGTCACCTTATGGAATCTTATTAAAAGACTTAATCAACAATCTCAATGTTACCAAATAGTCAAAGATCTTATAATAGACTTTTGCAATTTTAAATTAAAGAATAGTAATTTTTATCTTAAAAAAATATTTTGTACTGTACAATTCAAGCACCCTTATTATGATCAGTTAAAAATTCCATGCATGTTCAAAAAATGTTAACAGTTGCTCCCTGACCAACTACTTCAGGTTAAACCCTGTTTTAAATTTGAAAATACTATAGGTCAACTGTTTATTAACCACCACAATGTAATAGATGCATATATAGATAGCATATGATATTGCAAGCTTCTTGTTTACAGTAAATTTGTCGCACTTTAATTCTAATGTTTAAAATATGCCTTACTTTGATTAGCATATTGCTTGCAATTAGTACTGAATTTTATTTGTAAATATTCATGCGTTTATATTGTTTATTTAATCTTTGTTACACATTTCATTGCACCTTATTTTACTTATGTTAATATTTTCACGGAACCACAGTATCTAAGCAACTTTTTAGCGTACGAACTAGGAATTTTCTTTTAACTTTTTTTCTAAATTTTGCAGTTCAATGCGCAAAGTCTTTGACCACATAAGTCTTTTATCATCTGTTCTCTTTTCTTTAATTATATATATATATATATGTTACGGTGAAACACCAAAATTTGGAGAATGTCGACTTTCACCGGTGAATGTCAACATTCACGTAGTCGTTTGGTGTATATCCGAAATATTTTCCAAATACTCTTATTTCTGACTTACACTGGTCAATGTCGACATTCACCATGTACTAATGGTGAATGTTGAACATATAAGAATATTATATTTTCTTCTCCGTAATTCAGTCGCGAAAAAACGCACTTGAGACTTAAAATAAGAACTTCAGAATATAAGAACTTAAAACACACTGTACATTCAAAATGAGAAAGGAAAATGATAGAGGTTTAAAACTTATTAAATTAAGTGATTCAAATGTTATTTATTGCAACAACTTAAACTATTATGACACTTTGAATTGCACAAGAGGCCCTTGCTTTTGCAATTGCATTTATTTGTGGAACACTTCCTTTTGCAATGACAGCGTGTACATATACTCCTCTTTTTTCGACCTACACCAGAGCATATCTGTGATTGTCGACATAACCGGTGAGGGTCCGATTGTACAAGGATGTAATGCAATATTCGATCTTTCGCCGACGTATTTGGTGAATGTTGACATTCTCCGGTGAAATTCGACATTCTCCAATTTCGGTCTTTCACGGTAACATATATCAGCGACTAAAATCTACAACTTGGAAAGTTTTTAATTCTTACAGAGAATAAAAAAGATCTGGCTCATCATTCTTTTAAGCATCATAAAACTTTAAAATGAGCGTAAAAGAAATTCATTTTTACTTTAGCACACGCCAGACTTTAAATTAATATTTGTTTTGAATGCTCAATTTTTTACAATATTGATAAACAAAAATAGAGGCTTGCAGTCTCAATAAAATGCCCCATTAATGGCGATAAATGACTTTTTGTAACACCCAAACTTCTTGGTAATTCAAATTCTTAGAAAGAGGGGACAAGAAAACGTCGCGAAGTTCGTCTATTAGATAAGGGGGAGGAGGCTCTTCGATCAAATTTCGCGCTGTTCGTACCCTACCCAAGGAAGTCATGTGGTGTCCAGATCAGTTTTTTTTTTTTTTTAACTTACCCTCCAGCACTATATTTCTTATTTCCAGTCATCACTTTTCTGAATGTATGAAGACAAAATATGAGACTTGACATGAATGCTCCGAAGAAGAAATAGCTTGTCCATGGAACCCAGTACAAACGCTCAGCAAGATTCGGATCTGTATCGTGGAAAGTCCACCACAAAAGCTTTATTCCTATTATGTCATTCGGAATGTCCAGAACTACCATAGCGATTCCGACTGCGCACATCTCAGACCATAATGGAAGCTTCATCCTCGATACAGCGACCGAAGCGGTGTAGATTAAAACAGGATCTAAAGAAGTTATTTTACATTAAAAGAGAAGTTAATAACAGTAATAAAATTAAAAAATAAAGAAAATCTGAAAAGATTTAGATTTTAGTATTTCACCAACGAGTTTGTTAAAATTTTATGCTCCCGCTGATCTCGCAGTTTGTCGACCTCATTCCTGCCTCATTCCTGCTAATACGACTTTTTATTTTGCTCTTTTAACTTAGCATCGCTGTCTACGCTCTAACACCATATAAAATTCAGTAGCAAAATGACAAAATTTTTGAAAACAGCTTATGTTCTTGATAGAGAGTTAAATGATATTTTTTCAGTCTTTTCTTTGTTCATCATATCAGTATTCAGTTTTTCTTAATAAGATGACTTGCACATTTTTTTTTCATTTTCTTGCACTATAGCAAAATCAATCATAGCAAAATCGTATTAGAATTCCCGATAAAGCGTTGCCATACATTTTTTAGCCATTTTTTTAAAATTCACTTTTGCGTTGAGTCACTTTTGTTCCATTTCACTTTTCAAATAATTAGGCGCTGACGCGGCCTGACCGCTAAAGTAGTCATTATAAAAAAGAAGAAATATATATAATGTGTTATAATGTGTTTAAATCCAACTAATGTCTTTTCGCATATCTAGCTGGTAATTAAAGATATTAAGAACTGCATTTATTGCTTTGAAATTGCTTAATTTTTTAATTAATTATAGGCAGACTACACTGGTGTGCAAAAATTAAGGACGAGACGGTTTTTTCAATATAACTTTGTACAAAAGCTTTCCAAATCAACACATTTAATACCGTAAGATCCCCAATACGTAAGGACATGAGTAATGTAAGCAACACTTACTAAAAGAGAAATCAGAGGGATAAAAAGAAGCTTTATTGAAAAAGTAGCATGGAGCGCAATGCGACTGAAGGCCGAAACATCCCTGTGATGGGTGTCCAGCATGAAACATCCGGTCTTTAATAGGGGATATGATCTCCCCTGACTGCTAGGCAGGTTTCACAGCGTCTGCCCATGCTGAGAATGAGAGTGTCAATGAGTTGTTGAGGCATTGCTGCCCATTCGTCTTGCAGCACCAATCGAAGCTCCGGAATCGTTACTGGTGGTAAGGTACGAGCTGCCAAGCATCTGCCTAGAAAATCCCATACATGCTCGATTGGATTGAGATCCGGAGATCCTGCCGGCCAATCCATACGTTCAATATCCTCACTCTCTAAGAGCTGTTCGGCAGCTACTGTGCTATGACATGGTGCATTGTCGTCCATGAAAAGGAACTGCAGACCCATAGTGCCTCTAAAAAGACGCACATATCGAAGAAGAATCTCGTTACAATAACGGGTCCCGTTGACTGAACCTGCGTCGAAGATGTGAAGGTCTGTACGACTACCAAGCATGATGCCTCCCCAAACGAGAACACCGCCACCTCCATACTTGTCCCTTTCAATGATGTTCGAGGGATGATTGCGGCTTCCCCGCTCTCTCCAGATGAGTATGCGATGAGAATCGCTACTCAGACTGAATCTGCTCTCATCTGTAAAGAGTACTCGTCCCCATTCATTGCCTCTCCAATTCCGGTGTTCCCGGCACCACAGAGAACGCCTTCTCCGATGGGCAGGCGTTAGAGGTACGCACCGTACAGGGCGTCGTGCAAACAGACCACCACCGTGCAGTTTTCTGGCCACGGTAAAACGCGATATCGGTCGTCCAGTCCGCCTGTGTCGTCTGTGTAGCGATTTCTCCCGCTGTCTGCCGCCTGTTTTCTTCTGGCCTGTAAGGCCAATATACCGGTCATCTGTGGGTGTGTTCCTCGTGGGACGACCACTACTAAACCCCCGGATAGCTGTTCCTGTAGTTTGAAATTGTCTCCAAAGTCGTGAAACGATGCTGTGAGCAATTCCGAACTCTGCAGCCACACTTTTCACACTGCGGCCTTCCTCCAACTTCCCAATGATTCGACCTCGGGTAAAAGCATCCAGATGTCGTCTTACAGATTGATTATTCGCCATTTCTCGCTGAGGCAGCAACTCGGTGTGATTTTAACTGCTATACGGCGTGCAATCTTTTTGCCAGAAATACTGATCTTACACCGACAACATGCTTTATACTACTCAGACACTCCCCCATTACGTCTACCTGCATATCTGCGCATGTGCTACCGTGCATCACCTTACTTAATCTCCTGATTGGTCTTTCTGTCCGCTCTGCCTCTTCGTTCAGCTGATATGTTAATTTTTCGACTTCGTCCTTAATTTTTGCACACCAGTGTATGTGAAAACTTAAACAACTTACGCTTTGCCAAATGGCAACAAACTGGCCATCACGCCTTGCCAAATGGCCATGTATTCACAAATGTTCCAGGGCGTGAATTAATGAATATTTTATATCGACTTCGGATTGCAATGGTACAGTCATAAGGGTGCCTGTGGATGAGGTACTATCCCTCTCTAATTATTTGTTTCTTATCATATGAATTCAAAGAATGTCCATTATGGTAAATTCTGAAGTCAAAAATAAAGAAAGAAAGAAAAGAAAAAGAAAGAAAGAAAAAGAATCAAGTTTACTAAAGCAATTTACTAATTTCAGTCTGTTCAAAATTAGATAATTTTATATCGGATAATTTAGAATTTCCAATATAATAAAGTTTTTCTTTATGTATATTGCCATAAGTCTTTTTATATTCGCTATATTATTTCTTTAAAAATAGTATATAATGATCACAATTGGTGGCAACATCCTTTTATTTGTGTTGCCATACATTTTTTTTAATATTCGCTACATTATTTTTTGGAAAGTAATACTCAGAGATAACATTTGTTGGCAAAATATCTTTTTATTTGTGTTGCCATACATATTTTGATATATTCGCTGTAATATTTCTTTAAAAATAATACATGGCGATAACATGTCGTTGCAACGTTTGAAAAGTGATACGGACAAAAAAGTGTGGCTTGAGATTAATAGCATTTCTGGCGCTAAAAATTTTTATAGTCTATTTTTCAATATGATCTTGTATCTCGATAGACTTTTCCCATCTTTGATGAGGAAATCTTTTTACTCCAAAGGAGCTTTGTCCCTGAAGGACTATTGTTTACGTTTTGCGATTTCGCGTTGAAAACTTTAAAAGGCTGTATCACTTTTCAAATACTATCGCCAAATACCTGTATTATATGTGAAGAAATTAAATGTGAAGAATCTGCATAAATGTATGTATGTTTCTAGCATTGTGATAAAACAACGTTACATAGAGCCATCCAATTTTGAATGACATAATCCTACTGCGAATATGGGTATTTGAAAGCCCAAATTTGGAATTTGTTTTGTTATCGATTGTATTTTGAAACTTTTTATCTCTAGCGCGCGGAACTGTGTATCGGAAATTTTAAAGATATACTCATTTTAAAATTATTTTGCGACGTTTGCTGTTGAACTGAATTTTATGGTTTAAGTGCAAAGAACATGATATTTAATAAATAAAGGCAACACACACAAAACGTTAAAAAAACGCCCCTTTGGACATATTTAAAATCTAAAACCTTTCAGAATTTTTTTTTTTTTTTTTTTTTTTTTTAATGACGGGATGCTTTATTTAATAGCCTTGCGCCACTGCAAGGGCCAGAAGTAGTGACCATTTCATTATGAAAGCATCTAACGGAGGGTCACCGTTGCCTCCTATGAAGGGACGGACAGTTACAGCCAAGCCTTCTCTGAGATTTGAGCACGGACCCATCGCTACGACAGTCAGGCTCACTAACCACTTTATCGGCATGAGGCTACTGAAGAAATCTTTGCTTATGAGAAAGTAATTTGAAGGTTTATCGTCAAAATGTTCCACAACTGCTCCAGGGTTTTCACGTTATCGTCATCATTAAATCTCTTTCACGAAGGTCAGATTTCAGTTTTGGATGAGTAAAGTGTTATTCCATTTCTTTGGGATTAGTCCTTTAGTAAAAAATTCAATCACAGAATGATACCCATTTTTAAACGTTTCAAAAGAAACTATCTCATTACTTTTTATTATTATTATTATTTCTTTGCCTCGGGCGAAAAAATATGTTAGGCAAGGCTCTGGAGGTTAATATACATTTAATTGTTTTATAGTGAGCTTATTCTCGGTTCATTTAGCAGAATTTCAAGAATACATTTAATGTTTACAAATATACTACATTGTTCTCAATCACATACCTATTTTAAATAGAAAATTTAAAAAGTATTATTGGATTATCTCATAATATAATTTTTTATGTCTCTCCAGACCTTCAGAGCTTGTCTGCTTAGAACTTCAAATGAAGTGTCACTACCGCTTTATCAGTTTTAACCAAAATCTAGTGCATTGTTCCCATTGATACAAAAGTCTTAAAGACTAAACTTGAAAAATGTTGGATTATATTTTAATGCAGTTTTTTTTTTTAAATTATTATGAGCTTCAAAGTAAGGTATAACTTCCGGTTGTGCGTTAAAGACTTATAAGTTTTTAATAACGTACTACTTTCAGTAGTCCTGTTTCAACCAAAATGTAATCAACTCTTTATATGAATGTAAAAAGCTTAAATACGGAAGGCAGAAATTTTTGGAAGTTTCACATATGAGTTATTGCGGATGGAGAAGTCGTCATACATATAGAGACAGACATTAATTGTAAGACTAGTGAAAACATATTATGGGGACCCTGTTTCGTACTTATTCACTAAAAACTCACTATTGGACAGAAAACATTACCGCCTTTACCTATATAGCAGGAGGTAAAAGTAATTAGTACCTTTTTTCCGTTTAGCTGGGCTATCAAGTTCATGCGCGTTTCTTGGGCTCAAAGTCAGGCTAGTGTAAACCAGGGCTAAAGAAAAAGAGTGTAAACAGGCTTTTATGGGCTTAAGGTATCACTTCCGATTGTCCAGTTTTATCCAAAAACTAATTAACTTTTTATATGAATGTATCAAACTTAAATACAGAAAATGGAGATTTTTGGAAGTCTCAAATAAGGGTTATTGTGGACGGAAAAGTCGTCACAAACATACACACAGACAAGTAGACATCATTCTGAAAGAAGTAAAAACATATTGGGGGACCCTTATTCATACTGACACTTGAAATTAAATTCATCATGGAAACTTGCTTCCGAATTTTCGGGCCGGAAATATAACCTCCCTTCTTTATAAGTTGGTGGGAGGGTATAAAAATATAACAAGAAACGTTGTCTTCCAAAACATCTCAACAGAAGTTTCGAGTGTCCGAATTTTAAGTGAGTTACTGGTTTAAGCTTCTGGAATAAATTATTTTATTGCAAAGAATATTTGATGATATCTATAACAAGCAAGTCTTAAGCTACAGAAACAAGCAAACATTTTAACAAGTAGAGAAAAAAATAACGTATTAGAAAAAAATTGAAATTTCAATATTTAGAACCAGATCTGTGCATATAAATTTCAAAAATACAAGTGTTCGAAAATAAATGTGGGTCACTGGATGTATAACGTTGCCTTTTAAAATGTCTCAAATGTTTCAAGATTTTGGAAATTTGAAAGGTTTTCATATTTGATGTACATGTTTCAACTCATCATGGGGTATGAAATTTATGTATGTATGGAGTAGTGAATTTTATCAATGGAAGGGAGAAGCAGTAGGGGAACATCTTTGTAACGATGCCCTGTTTTTAAGATGTCCGCATCTTTGTGCAAGTCTGCCATTGTTCGAAATGTCAGAAGACTTCATAAGGGTAGACATGCATAAGGTTTGGTTTGATTTATTTAAGTACGGCAAAGCTTGCGAGGGCTATTTGCATAAGAGGGAAGGGATGCTTTTGTGGAGGGCTTTCTAAAGGAAACTGTCTCGTATATACGTTGTAGTATATGAGGAAAACCACGTAAACGCCCATGCAGCTATCCCATTCGGCTAAAATCGAACCCAGGTCCTAACTACTAATGTTCAGCGACTTTACCGCTCGGCCGGCACACAGACATAAAGAAAAGATAGACTTCATAAGGGTCATCCATATCTGCATCCTTATGCATTATGTAATTTGGAAAAAAAGCAACTGTCATAAAAGGGCAGAAGGAAACGTGGGAGAAACATCCTTAATTCCTCATACAAGATATTTTCGACGATGTGTGCAGCCATAACAAGACTTTTGTAAACTACACACCAGAGTATGGTCCAAATTATCCAACAGGTTTGAAATTTGAGCATAAAATAAATCTATTTCTTATTTATATAAAACACAGATTGATGTATAATGTTATAGAAGAATTTTTTTTTAGAAATTTTTAAAAATCTTACAGAAGCACACTATATGGAGCGGAAGTCTTTGTCCGAATAGCATCACTGAAGACTGTGCGTGCCAAAAACTGTCTATATCAGGAATCATGTAGCTTAGGCTTTCAACTGCTAGTCCATGTACCAGGGCGGCCAGCCACAAGTAAAAATATCGACCACCATTTCGTACAGCTGAAAAATATAATTGTTGCAAAATATTCTTTGGATTAGACTTTTTGAATGAAACTTAAAAAAAATGAAAATTTTCTTAAAATATCTTTGACATTTTTATTCAGTTTATAGAAGCCAGAGTCTTTTCGGATATTTGGTATTGTATCATTTCAGTTTTTGATTATTTTATGCAGGCCTGCACTTTGCAAGGAAATATGTCTTATATATAAGGCATATTTTAAAATTCATTTACTCAAAATAATTTAACTACTTTGATATTAGGTGCGCAAACAGTTATGGTAAAAATCTTTTCTTTTTAAAACCAAACTTATTTTAGAAATATTCTGCTTATTTTCAAATTTTTGGTTTGAACCAAAGGTTCTCAACTTTTATTATCTTGTTTCGCCATCGGGTAAGAACTCCTGAGTTATGATGTGTTTAAGCTTCATACGCTTCGGTTTAGTTAGTTATGACAAAGCACACTAGGACTACCTGTCTATTTACAGGGGGGAAACTAGCTCGTATACACTTTACACATGGGGAACGACTCAAAAGGCCTATGCAGCCGGCCCATGCAGCCAGCCCATTCGCCTGGAATCGAACCAGGAAATACCAGCGATCAGCGATTTTACCGCTCGACCGCCGGTGGACTAAGCTTGATAGAATTACTTGTTAAGAAAACGGTATCCAATTTCAAACTCAGAGGCTTAATACACAATACTCATTCATTAAATGGAAAATTAATAAATGTAATGTAATTTTAAAGGCTTTTTTATTCCTTCTGTAATGAACGATTTTAAAACCAGAATACATCATTCAGTTAAAAAATTACTTCACATTTCTTGATATGAATCCAATTTAATTGGATTAATGCCTTAAATCCATGTAAGAATTATCAATTCAGATGATTAACAATTTTCCAGATCATATTATTCAGATATTCCTTAATTGTTTTTTTTTTAATTGTTTATCCTAAAGTCCTTTTAAAATAAATTTTCATCTACAAGAACGATGTTATTTCTCTTCACTTTTTTCAATTAATTCCTTATATTCCTTAATTAAGATCTCTCTGCAAGCCAGTTATTAATTTTGAAATAAATTAGAACTAGCCTAATGATTAGACAAAAAAAAAAAGTATTTTGAATGCATGCTGCATCTCTAACAAGGCTAATTTATTAGAATATTCTGAATCTCATTTCTAGACTTGCTGAAACATTTAGATTTAAGATATCATCATGCACAGAAAGATTCAGGAATTTTAAGCCTGATATTGGATTATTATGTAAGAAAAAGTGATGTCCCTTGTTTTTACAGAGATTGTGAAAATTAAATGGCTAATCTATTATTACAGTTAACACTATTATTTCAGAAATTTCTTTGAGTAGTAGGTGTGTAATTGAATTTCAAATGGCTTCAATGAGCTTTCATTCAGAAGGCAAGAAAAAGATACGCCTCTTTCTTTCGAAGATAAACGTCAAAGCATTTACCCAAAAGAGCTTATTTAGAAAAAGTTTTGATGTTATAATGCAATTACAAATCTCGTAATAAAAGACTTAACATTTATCTTTCTTATCATGCATGTGAAACAGCCGGCTTTTCTGTCGTGAGTCTGCTAATTGGATCCTTCATTCGTTAAATCGAAAAGGCTATCTATTTATTGATTCAGCGAATGCTGTGATATATGCTTAAAATGCTGTGTTATGAAAGTGTTAACCCTGAAATTAAAAATCAATGCCATCATTTAACATCAGTTGTATTTGATTCGGGGGGGGGGAGAATATCCTGCATTTGTATTTATTGCAAAAAAATTACACTTTTGATATTACGTATACCTTAAACTTATTTGTTTTTGAGCAATGCATGTCGCAAACGGCTTCTAAAATATAACTCAGATAAATATTCAAAATTCGCTGATTTATATATCACTAACATAAGTTTAAATTTTGGCGATCTCATGATCACAGTTACAAGGTTAGTCATCTTATTGAATCCTTATAAGCATTTTAATTACATGTCGATAATATTTTGAGTAATAACATTTACAATCTTCATCAATTCTGCTTTACCTTTTTAATTTTGACTTTTATTATTTCATGTTAATTTTAGTATTGTTAGTAATTCAATTATTATCATATTTTACGATCAAGAAATTTTGCCTGTATTTGTACCGAAAATATTCTGCAGGATAATCCAAAAATCTCGCATACTCGCATATCGAAATTTTAAAAATTGTGGAAATTCCAAAATAGTATTAATTGCAAGTTATTTCATTGGATGGCACCCCTATATAGTACTTATAATTTAGCACTCAACATTTCTGCTTCAGTTTACGCTGTTACTTTTAAAAACCATTTGTTTGGTGCAGAATAAAATTTTATGCCTGAGCATCATTTTGCGACGCATACATTTAATTGTGATACTATCCTTCTCCTGCTTTTTGTTGCTGATTGCAACATTTTATTCCGGACTTTGTTCATTTTATCCGAACCCAAAGGAGACAGCCGAACATTTTGTTTCTTATGTCTCGAAATTAGATTACCAAGTGGAAAATCATTGGCTTCCTAAGTTCATGAACATTTAGGAAGTTCTGTTTAAACGCTTCAACCGCAGTTTCATAAGAATACGTATCGAAGTAAAGCTCAATCATAAACATTTTTTCTGCTTGGAGAGAACTCATCTCTATCTTAAACAAGCAACTGAAATTTCAAGTATTATATTACTTGTAACCATATGGTGCGGGTTATCCATTGAAATAATTTGTCAGTAATTTGCCATTAGGAATTTATAATTTTTTTTTTTTTTTTTTTTTTTTTGTTTTTTAATTAAATTTTTTTTTTTATTTTTATTTTTTTACATTTTATATTTTTATGACATAAATAAAACACAAAAGCAAAAAGCGGAGAGGAAAGATTTTAGAGATTAAGAGCCTCATTGGCATATGCCGCTAAATCAGAATGTAGTAAAGTTTGTGAAAACGCGAGGTAATAATACCCAACGCAGAAACTAATTCTGCCGGCATGATGTGATTTTTGAACGAACAGATTGATAACAGTGCAAAGGTTTTAGTTGAACTTGAGTATAAGATAGCAATTTGGCATAGTCGGTGAGGAATAACTGAGCTGAGATGTCTCTCTCCCGCTTTAATTAGTTTATAAATGGCCGCGCGAGATAGTTCTAGAATTTTCTGCTTTTCGAGATTTCTGGAAAGCAATAAGAGGATGTAATTATGGTTACAGATAACACAATATTCAATTACATTTATTCGCTTAAAATATAAATTGCCGAGGTAAGCTTTTACTCAATGTTAGATGCACGTGCTCCTGTATTTTTATTTTTCCGGCATAGCTTTCTCTTAAAATCTGTCTCGCGCTGAAATATGTCTCAGGAGGAAATACAACAATTTTAATTATAATTCTACTAAAACTAGCTATCTAAATATAAATTTTGTAACAGTACTTACCATGTTTTAAAGTCAGCACAAATCCAATATAAAATAGCACCTCAACAGCCAGAAAAGATGTATGATCCACTAAAATTTCTTTTGGACTTCGGAAAGTTACGAGCCATCTAAGAAACTAACGAAAGTTATTATAAGTAAAATTTATATTGCCGGAAATTGCTAAAGAAAGAACAAAAAAGATAAAATGCCTACAGATAACAAACAGTTGGAGTACTAAAGGATATTTGAAATTGACTTTATATTCAAATCTTACCTTTATATCGATTAATTTTATAGAGCTCATTGCTTCGAAAACTAGGTAGTTAGTTCATCATACTTTCCTCTGTGTATCTATTAATTAAAAATTTAATTATCGAGTGTGAATACGGATTATTGCCTTGCTGATTATTGAGTGCGATTTTTGAAGTCACACGAAGGCTTGCCCTGCTATTATTAAAACTTACGTTATCCTTAAACTGCAAATTTATGAATATTAGTAAGTTAATATTAGGTCTTGTAAAAATTCGTTGCGCAACTTCGAGGGTAAAATCATTGTATTAAATTTGCCGAATTATTTGCTTTTGAAAAGAAAAGGCTAGTTTTCTTTCTCTCCAAACGTATATGCGTTTATAATTAAAATCTCCACCAATGCCAATTAAAATCTACGAATACATGGTAAAATATAATTAATTATGTATTATTACATTTAAATATACAAATTTTTAACATGACTTTTCGAATTAGTGTCCACAAATAAATTTAATTAAAAGTTATTATTTTCCTCTGAGGCAAAACATATTTTCTGATAACATTCAATAACGTTTAAAAATACAAAATAGCGTTTAATTTACCAAATTACTGAAAATAAATTTAAATTCCTAAGATAAAATATAATATCAGTATAAAATGCAAGACCAGATTTCTACAGGAAAAACAGTCTGTGTCCTAAGCTTTTACTTTCAAGACAGCCTCCAAATCCTCCTGTAGTATTTAAAGTATGTAAGATTTTTAAAAAAATTTTTAATGCTAGGACATCCACTATATTGAAAAAATAAGGAGGAGAAGACGATTTCGTAATAGCTTTCTTCTGTATTGGCTTAGGATTCTAACTTCATAAATCGGGTCCTGATAAAATGCAAATAATTTGACGATTCTTATTGAAACACTATTTATCTTATTAAATAATTAATTAGCCGGTACCAATTAGATATCACAATAGGAATAATTATCCTTTTCTTAATGAAAGTAAAAAACAGAGCAGTGAAAAATAGAGAAAATATTCAACAACATATCTTGCAGTTTTGTTATTTATTAAATTTATTTTAGTTGTCCTTGTTACAGATGCACCTAAGCAAGATTTTTAAAAGTTTGAATTATTCAAAAAGTCAAAAACTGATAGCAGAATATACTTCAAAAACGTTTTTTGCTACTTACAAATGAGACGAATATCGTTTTAAGTAAAGTAAAATACCTGAATTACTTCTTTCAATTCCATAGTTCTGGAGAAGAGACTAATTTTTTTCTGTTCTTTACTGAAGAAGCGTAGCAATCGATCGCGTAATAAACAAGGAGTTTTTAAAAATGATAAAGATTATCATTAGCTAAAGATAAGCTCTTTATACTTAGTGCGAGGTGACAGATCAGATTTCTTCATAAGAAAAGAGTCAGATAAAAGCTTTGTTGCATTTTTGATAAGACCGATCGGTAGTGCGACCAGTCGAAACCGAGTTTCTCTGTTCATATCGGATATGATAATTCGATAAGCTATTTTTATCTTGTCAAATTCATTAGAATCACGCAAAAAGTGAAGTAAATTATAGACAAAAATATACATATTAACGGAGTCATTTTTTGTAACAAAAAACAAATGGTCTTGTCTAAGTCGATGACAGAAAATTAATTATATGGAAATATTTAGTTTTAAAAATGATGCTAATAAGGATTGATTTCTGCTTTCATTTATTCAAAACTTGAGTTAATTCTGCATTAAAAATCTGTCATCGTATGTGAAAATATTGAGGATGAAGGTTCTAAATGCAGTCTGACACCTCAATGGCTCCTTCACGCCTAGCTTTCAAAATTTTTACTATTTTCTTTAACGTTTCATATTTAGTCAACTTTCTTTTTTGCGTAATATCCGCATTCGAGAAAAGAACGAATGACCAATAAATTAAAATTGAATCTTTATGGCTAAATCAATTATCATTGTTGAAGCAACGATGAAAAGATGATAAAGGTCAATCATCTAACATCTTGACACTTCCATCTTGACAGTGTGTTGGCAGTACAGAAGATAATGCATACATTTATAAACAGGATATTAAAAACAAGTGACTGCAGACTTTATTTCCTTAAATAATGACACAAACGGTTAGCTAATTGATTATGAGAAAGTTCTGCTTTAAGGGGAATGTTTTCTTGTAGATCACTAAAAGGAAAACTGATGCTTATTCACTTTGCGCTTAATCCTCAGTGCGACTTAAATGCACAGACATTTAAGGCACACAGGCATACCTAATGTTGCAGGCATGAGTTCGAAACATCATTTATTCATGTTGTTTAGCCATCTGGGAGCTCATGGTTAAAGCGAAAGCAAATGAACGAATATAAATTTAGCATGATTCTCTGTTGACTAGTTCCAAGATATATCGCCTTGTATTCACGAATAAAAGACTTTATACTTCCATACTATTTATTCTAGGGATTTATAGTTTAAATCAGCGTCTTTTTAACTTTGCGAACCCAAATCGGGTCACAAAGCGACATGTTAGGGTCGTGAAAATTTAATTCAGATATAAGAAATTAAAGAAACTTTAGTCCCAATCCCTTCAAATCATTCATTTAATATACTTGTTTACGTTTTCTGTACGGAGCAATTATAAAATCATACTACTGGTCAAGTTGAGCTGTAAATTATATTTAAATATTGAAGTATACCCCTAAGCGCATCATAATGGCGATTTCGTATTGTTATTTCAGAATATGTGTTACTTCAGAATTTAAGTATTTCGCAAACGCACGCTTTGTAACGTCCTGTGCCACGCAGGCATGTCGATAATAAGGTCGGTGCTGCTGTGACTAGGATCGTGATATCGCATTTTTAAGATAATCAGTTGTTTCTGTTTCATTGCAACAAGTGTGGATATAGCAAGAACAATACAATATTATATTTTTCTCTTTCATGCGACTGCGGTTGATATTTATTTGAATAATTATTATGAGAGATGTCATTTTATTTATATTTTAAGGTGAAAATATTTTTGACTATTGGATAAGTGACCGAACTTGAGCAACAAAAGTTATGGTTTAGGTAACAATGCTACAAAGTTTCTTCAGGTAGAGTTTAGTAATAAGGAGAAAGTTTCTAAGATGCGAAAAGAAAATATGGTACGATATTTTTCTGCTTTGACTTTAGTTTCGGCAACTGTGAAATGAACTAATGAACAACTTCTTCGTTTAATTTGTGATAACATTTGGGCTATGGAGAGTATGAAACCATCAAAATTAAAAAGCATTTTGAACCCAAGCATTTTTCGTACGCCAAAAGAATATTTAGAATGAATGCTAAACCCTAACATGTCGCTAAAATCATAAAAAGAAAAAATTGAGAAATTTATGATTGTTACTGAAAAATATTTACTCACATCGTACGAAGTTTTATATCTGATTGCTAAAAAGAAAAAAATATGTACCATTGGAGAAGATTTTGTATTACCTTCTGCTATTAAAATGGTAGAAATATTTCACCTTTTAATTATTTCAAGTAAATAGTGCGATGAAATTCAGAAAATTTGCAATTGCGGAAGCAACACTGCCAGCAGTAGAATTTCTGGAACTACCAAACGACTGTTTCGAGCAATTTATTTTTAGACTTAAAGAAACCCCAAAATTTACAATTCAGTTGGACGAAACAACTTGCATTTCAAAAATAGTTCACTTGTTAGTATATGACAGATACATTTATAAAAAAAATCGATGGAGAACTGTTATTTTTTTATTCTTTGGAATAACATACAAGAGGTAAAGACATGTAGAGCAAAATTTGTCGATTTGTTTCAAACTGAAAGTTTAGAACGAAAAAAGCTGCGCTAGAGGTGGACAGATGGTGCAAAAGGCTATGATAAAATTATTGGTTTTAAATAATTTATTAAACTACTGGTAATGATCACATAACTTTTATGCTCTGCATGACCTATCGAAGTTATTTCAGCAAAAATTTAATAGGTTTATATTAATTTTAAATAACCAATTTTATTTCATTTTGCATTCTTTCCTAAAAGCCTTCATTCCACTAATTGTCAATGACAGAATATTTAAATTTGGTAGCGCGTGAAGGAATGCAAATTCTACCTTGAGGAGAAAAAGTTTAAATACCAGGTTTTAGAAGGAAAGTGAGAGAGGCTATTACCGTCACCTCTTTAGCGTAAGCTTCTATTTTCGCAGTTATTGCTGGTTTACGTGGCGTAACAGCTATAACTTTGCTGCCACTAGTTTCGACGCAGTTTTAAGTAAAAGGAATATCTGAGCCCTGTAACATGATTTCTACTACTTGTTAACATCTTCAAATTTGAGTTCTTGTTATTTCAGTTACCGCCCGAGCGAGGCGTAGTGTGTTAGCGTCAAGTCGACGCAGTGTGAATTTTAAAGATTTCTCCTGTGTAGTTCCTACACTTACATACTACACGTACAGTTGTCACTTAGAAATTAAGCAAGTGATTCACACAACTGAATTAAACGACGCGATTTAAAATATTGTCAAAATTATAGAATAGATACCCTTAACAGCCGTTTATTTTCAAATCTCTGTAAAGCTATGGACTGCGAATGCAAAAATTTATTATTACACTGAGAAATAAAATGTTTTTTAAGAGGGTGAAGGTTAATAAGATTATTTTACTAAAAGAATGAATTATGTATGTCACCGTCAAACAAACAAAACTCGGATCTTATAGCATTTTTTTTCGAAATGAGTTTTTGCTATCAAAGTTGTGCTGTTGGTCATATATTTTTGAGATATTAAGTAAGTTCAACCTACCTCTTCAAGGAAAGAACATTGCGCTTATTTCGAATGATAAATTTGGAGGTTTCATTAAAAAGACAATCGATTATAGATAAATTTATAGTTGACAAAAATAATTGCAAATTTTAAATGCAAAATTTATTTTATATCATTTAAAAACTTTACAAATAGGTTTTGCTGCAAAGTATTTACTTTGTAGAGTTTAGGTTATTTTGAAGCAGAAGACATGAAAAGTGTGCAATGCCCTCGCCGGGACTCGAACCCTGACCCTCTCGAATACGTGTCAACTGGCGGGCTTCCAATTACATCACGAAGGCATGCGGAAAAGAGGGAAGTACATTATTACTTCCCATTTTAAAGGATGACTGAGGATTAGGGGACACAATCGCCAAATCCTGGTGACGACGAATTATCATCAATCATCTTTTAGTTCAGGCGCCACTGTAGATTCATTAGGTTATTCTGAAGCAGTGGACATGAATAATGTGTAGTTTCTATCGCCGAGACTCGAATCCTGGACCTCTTGAATGCGCCGAGTATGCTTCCGATTACACGACGAAGGCATGCAGAAAGGAGGGAGAAAATATTTCATAACTTTGAATCGACTTTTGGTTTCAAACAGGTATCTGGTATTAAAAAAAACCTTTTTTTGGCTCACATAAATGAGATTAATAACCTGCCATATAAAACACAAGAATTTGTTGAGCTATCGTTTGATTCAAACTTAAAATTTGAGTTTCGACAAAAATATTTGACTGTATTCTGGATCGGAGCTAGAATTCAGTTTCCCATAATTTCTGAAAGGGCATTAAATAGCTTGAGCAGCGTCAAATATTGCGCCAGGATTTAATTTATTATTCAGGAAAAGAAAGTAAGCGCTTTCTTTTCCTGAATGCCTCATTAAAACGTAATGTTCTTTCAGTAATTTTTGCATGCTGAAATGGTATAGTGGTTGACTTGTATGATGGTAGAGTTGTAAATGCCTTAATGTTGATTCATATGTTGCAAGTTTTCTTTGCCAGCTGGGTAACAGTCAATATACGAAGTCTTGGTTTCATAGGAGGCTGGGTGAAGGTCTTTATAAGAACATTAAATTGTAAGGCTTGGGGGTCTAGCTGCTGCAGTTTTGTCTATGATGTGCAGTAGAATTATACCTGTTAGTACTTGCAGAGCGAAGATGGAGATAATTCTTTGTACCTTTGCAGTGCTAAGATGGAGGTAATTCTTTGTATCTTGTCTTTACCTCTCTTAAGAGAGGAATTTTCACTGCGTATTATTAATGAGTAGCTTTTTTTCTTTAAAGTAATAAAAATTGCCTATAGAACTTAGGCCCTAGTTGCTTCAATTTGACACTATATGTATTAATACTTGTAATGCTGAGATGGATTTACACTCAAGGGGACTGATCATCGTATACTATTAATGAGAAATATTTTCCTCTTTTGGTATGGAAATTGCCCAAGGCATGAAGTATAGTTCATTGTATTAATTTAGAAGTCAAACAACAAAAATCAACGTTCAGTGGAGTAGCTAGGGTGGGGCAAGGGGGGACATCTGTCCCCTTGCGCAGCATTCAGGGGGCGCCAAATTGATGTTACGAAATT